ACCATTGGCGCTCACACTCACCTCTAGGGACAATTTTGAGTGTTCAATCAGCCTGCCATGCATGTTTTTGGAATGTGGGAGGAAACCGGAATACCCAGAGAAAACCCACGCAGGCACGGGGAGAACATGCAAACGCCACAGAGAAAGCCAGGATCGAACCCACGACCTCTGCAATGTGAGGTGGACATGCTAACCACTCGACTACCTGGCCACCCTCATCTAAACTTTTCATCATCTAATTGCTTTCTGCATCTGCCAATGTCATCCGGACTAGTAAATTTCATACAGTAAGTATATTTTTGAAAATTGTATATTTTCAGTAAAAAGAGCATGCATGTATTCGGCCCACATTACACAATGCATTATTGTTGGCTAGTAAGTGCAGGTGTTGATCCTCAGTCGCAGTAAATGCACATCACAGCCTTCGTTTTTTTCTTCCATATATAATGCTTTTATCCACTTACTGTAATTTTCTCTAATTTTCAAGCACCCACCATTTTTTTCCACGTTATTTCTGAGTAGCAGGTTGCAAATGGACATTTAATGGAGGCAAAATGTTTGTTCTTTTCATTTCCGTGACCTTTGGTGAACACTGAGCACAATCAACATCCACAGTCATTCAAAGTTGCAGCCATTAGGCACTAAAGTCTGGAACGTTTTTTTGAGCATGAACTCATGCTGTACAGTGTGTACCTGATCCTTGCTCATATTACAGTCTGTCTGTTCAGATAAACTAACCTGTTACTTATTTGTTTATAACACACAATCGCTAAAATGCTTGTAGTGGATCTCAGAGTGTCCAGGTGAACCGATTGTCGCCAATGATTTCTTTGTGCTTGCATAAAAAGGACTCATGGGGTCATAGACGCAGAATATCCACAGCAAATTTAATTAGAGTCTTTTATCACCATGTGGGCCACACTGATATTTCAAATTGGTCTTCCAAATCTGCCGGTAAAGCTAGCATTACGCTAACTTCCTGCCAAACATACTCAACAAGAACCCTACCAATTCGAATTTGTGGGTGAAATGTGTTCTGTGTATGTGTATTTGTTTGGTACATGTTAAAAGTAGTGATGCCAGTTTATTCCAGTCGCACTAAGAATCAGAAAAGTTTACTTCATTGTATTAGCTAACACGAGTTAGCCTGAAGTCAACTGGGACAGGCTCCAGCAACTCTCTGCGACCCTGTTCAGGATAAGCGGTGTGGAAAATGGATGGATGGATATATTCTGTCTTGTGCCATCTTAAAAAAAAAAAATCACAAGCTCCCGACATGCAACAAAATCTCTCTTTAATCTGAAAAAAACCCCCCAAAAAACCCGTGAAGATTTATTAAGATTTATTTACTGTCTCTTGTTTGTCAGTTCACAACCTGAACAGTATTTTTTTTTTTTTAAGTTAATAAAAGAGGGGCATTCTTCTGATTCTTATATCGTCTGTCATCAAAAACAGATACAGTGTATTGTATTTACCGGTACGTAATAGAAATTTTAAAAATCCTTTCTACTCTTGTACCTAAGTACATTTCAAAGTCAGTACCGATACTTAAAAAAATAAATACTTAAGTAATGGAGTTAATCAATAATTGTACTTTTACCTTTGTTAGTCCAGTCTATGTTTTTATGTTCATGTATTCTAATTGTTCTATAGCAACTCTGTACTACATATACTTAAGTACAGACTGTGAGTACCTTTGCAAACTCTGGTTCTCGCCATGAAATTGCACGGGCATGCTCTGTGAGTTTGTTGTTACATTTCATCAGCCACGACTCCAAGCGAGTTCATGTGTACGGCACAGCAGGCAGACTTAACTTCAAATGAAAATGACCACGACACATACACGTGGCCAGTGCGTCTCCTGCTGTGAGGATAATATCAGGAGTCCCCAGACCAGACTGGAATCGATTATCAATAAGCCTTCTGACGTCAGCAAAGCACGGGGGCCGCTTCAGGAGAAACTGAGCTTTAGTTTGTTCAAGTGAAATGTCATGTCCACACGGCTCACAAAACATTCAGACATCACTACGCGTCTCCTCCTTATCAGACAACCCTCAGTTGCTTGGGCAAACATGTTTGAGTTTAATGAATGATCACAACTCAAACAGCAGAGCTACAACCCACATTCATTCAAGCAGCAGGGTGACCTTTTGAGCATGTGTACCATCTTACCTTAACCTTTCTCATTAGCTATTTATATGAAATGACCGCTTAACTTCACAACGGACCTTTTCTTATGGTCTCTATTCTATGATTTTGTTTTGTTCTACTGTAGGTCCCTTTTCTAATGGCATAAAAAAGTAATCTATGTTGTGAATTTCCAAAAATCTTTTTTGAATGAGTTATTGCAGTAATATACGATTCAAAATAAACTTTGCCAGATGAAATAACTTTGTAGCTGTTGACCGAGTGCAGCAAAGCCAGGCAACAGAATTGTTTAAATCCTTCTCATGTCCGATGTTGAACATAATCATTCAAGCAGAGCCCAAATTGTCAGTCCTTTACTACTTTTTTTTTTAACCACGCCTCTGTCATTCCAATTTGAGGACCATCAGTAAATTTCACCAATTGCGTCACTCCGTCATCTTTATTTTAACCATGCTCCTGTCTTTGCTGCATCCATCCATGATCTATAACGGTGTGGTCAGACCAAATGCAAGCTTTCTCTTCCTCCTTCTTCTCTGAGTTTATTGGTGGGTTACCGATTTTTGTTGCATACCACCACCTACTGTTCTCCATCAGACACCTGACATTTTAAATGTCACCGTGGTGCTGAAGAAAGGGAGTGGTGTGTCATTCAGCTCTTTACAGAACATACTTTTTTTCCACTGTGATCTTCCAAAGAACCTGGAAAAGAACTAAAAACTATCCATATGCTCCTTCACAACAAACTCTTCAGTGGAGTTCTTCCCTGATATGCAGTGTGTATTGATTGATGTGTCTTTGGAAGCAGGATGGCACGGTTGTATGTAACATTAATCATGACTTAATCCATCCATCCATTTTCTGTTCCGCTTTATCTTCACAAGGGTCGCGGGGGGTGCTGGAGCCTATCCCAGCCGCCTTCAGGCAGTAGGCGAGGGACACCCTGAACCGGTTGCCAGCCAATTGCAGAGCACACAGAGACAAACAACCATCCGTGCTCACACTCACACCTAGGGACAATTTTGAGTGTTCAATCAACCTGCCATGCATGTTTTTGGAATATGGGAGGAAACCGGAGTACCCGGAGAAAACCCACGCTGAACATGCAAACTCCACACAGGAAGGCCGGAGATGGAATTGAACCCGGTACTTCTGCACTGTGAGGTCGACGCACTAACCACTGGTCCACCGGGCCGCATTCTTATCGTCATCATTTCAGAGATAGATGGATATGGTTTGACTTTGTTGACCACATTACATGCATTAAACGAGACTTCCCCCGTCTTAGGATGGCCACTTCTTGGGTGAGTAGCAATGACCCTGGACTTCATCCACAGTCTGTCTTTCATCTTTTTGCAAGGTATTGGTCACACCAGGCCATGTGTCTTGAGAAAAGAAAACTCAAAACAGCTGAATGCCTTATACCTTCAATCTTGCCAAATTGGTTGGCCTTCTGGTTGGTTGACACCGGACTGTGGTTTCCTCAGAGTAGATACATGAGATATGCGGGTATACAGTACAGTACAGTTCATTCTATATTTAATGAGGGCACCCACTTACATTGTCTGTTAAGATAAGATATCCTTTATTTGTCCCACACTGGGGAAATTTACAGTACAACATTTACAACAAAAATTTGTTGCCACAGCAGCAAACAACATTGACACTCTGGTCACTCATTGCAGCTTCCTTTTCTGCACCGAAATGTCTCCTTGCGAGTTGTGAGCATGCCACATTTAAAGGGAATGAGAGGAGCCACTTTGATTGGATATCTGAGTTCACGCCTGTAACGGTGCAAACTGACATTTATTGAATGTGCCGGTTTGGGAAATTACTTGAGAAATTACGAAAACCCTAACGCGCCAAGTCTCAGATTGACACAACTTGGTGCGCTGTGCTGGACACTAAAATGGAATCCTAGGTCTTATATATTTCAGTGTATTTTAAGTCTATCTGAAGAGCTCTTCTCCAAAATGGAAAACATGTCAGATTTTATTCTCCAACGAGGCTCATGTAGAAATAGTTGTTACGATTGCATTATTGTCAATGTTATGTGTTCTGTTGTATTATTATGTATTGTGTTATTATTATTCTGAGATATGTTCTGTAAAGCGCTTTGTTACAGCTGCAGCTGCTATATAAATAAAGATGTATTGGATCATATTGGATTGTGTTGAATTGCATTGTATTGTATTGTATTGTGTTTAGACTGCGTAATGTTTTATTCATGAATGAATGGATTTCATGTGGCAAACAGTTTGAATTTGCTGGTCTATGAAAATAAATAGAATTTTCTTACAATGAGCCAAATGGATTTATAGGATATGAAATGAGCACTACATCTGTTACAATACTTTTGCTCCCCTAAAATGTGCTGTTTCATTACTGTGTCCGGCTGTCTGGCTTTCTTGTGTGAGCAACAGTTTCAAATGTAAACTAAATGTCAATTAAACCTAAAATGTTGATTTGGTTTTTTACCTGAAGAGTTTCATTTTTTTTTTTACACCAACCTCCAACTCTGTCCCAATACTTTTGGGGGAAATGTATGATGAATTCTTCATATTTTCTAAAAACAAGACAAAAAGATAGACAATGGGGTGCTAAAACATCCAACAAAAAATGCATTGACATGACTTTGTAACCTGTTGTGATTTACTGTTTTATTAATTGAACAGAATTTACCTGAATTGAACTGAACAGAATTTGAGGTTTCTTGGTCCACAGCCTCTTGAATCAAACCTGTAACTGTACCCACTTTTGACAATCAATAGAAGCACAACACGTGCCCACAAAGTCCATTATTAAAAATGCATCTTGACCGATTTTAATTGGTGGAGGGTGGGGGGCTGGAGTGCGGGAGTATTATTTCTTCCTCTTGGATGATGGAATTGCTTGTTTTCTTAAAACTCAGTTCTAACTGCTGCAACAACCCTAACGTGACGTCACAGGAGAAAGTGACCAGTGATGTAAAGGAAAAGTGGCAAATGAAATTTCAAAGCCACAGTGTGCCTCGACTCGGTGAGTATGAGGCTGCATCGATCAGTGTGAGAAGTGTGTTAGAGGCGCGCGCACCCTCCGCGCTCAGTTCTCCATTCGCACCACTGCCTCCTTTGCCTCTTTTGGACCTTGATTAGACCGCTTTTGGACCCTGATTGGACTTCTTTTTGACCACTAACACAAGGTAGGGACGGGCAACTTGGGTTTGAAGTACACTCAGTGAGTACATTTTCCTCAGAGAACCAGCCGTATAAAGTACTTCTCTTACAGGATTTATTTTTCCACGTTGTTCCATTTCCATCTCTTGTGTGTTTTCCTTTTTCTCACACATCTTTTCATCCTACAACTAAATAATTACATGTACGGGTGGACACACTCTTATTCATTTTCATATGTCAGAGCTGCTTAATTAATAAGAAATCAAATGAACATAAGTACTTTGTAAGCGGTGCAATAAATTCAAACGAGTACAAATTAAATGCTGTTGTTAATAAAACTAACACAACAATATAAGATAGACATAAACAGATTTATAATATTTATGGCAAGAGAGATGTAGTGTGCTGTGGTATGAGAGGGGGAGGGTGTGTGTGTGTGTGTGTGTGTGTGTGTGTGTGTGTGTGTGGTGTTTGACTGGTTAGGATGTCCGCCTGGAGTTTGCATGGTTTCATCGTGCCTGTGTAGGTTTTTTTCTGGTAGGTTGATTGGACGCTCCAAATTGTCCCTAGGTGTGATTGTGAGTGTGCGCCCTGCGATTGGCTGGCCACCACTTCAGCGTGTCCCCCACCTGCTGGGTTTCAAATTGGACAGTGATTTTAAAATTGGACCGGAAAATCAGTGCTGTTGTTGAATCCAGATTTTTTTCATGTGAGGCGGTTGGTTAAGGTCAAGCCTTTCCTGCCTCAACAGCACTTAGAAACAGTAACCCATCCATTTGTTATTTTACTGTAGTTACTGATGACTGTAATGCATTTTATTTTGGAGTCAGCCTGTCCTCCCTCAAGCATCTCCGATTGGTCGAGAATGCAGCTGTAAGAAGGAGCACATTACTCCAATTCCAGCCTCCCTTCACTGGCTTCACATTTTAAAACTCATTTTAAGACACTTTTTTTTTGTTTTCAAATCTTTAAATGATCTTGCACCATCTTACCTCTCTGAGTGTAGCACTCCTACACGCCCTATGCCTCAGGTCTGCGATCCAGGTGCGACTGTAGGTGCTGAGGACGAAGCGGACAACCTTCGCTGTTGCCAGTCCTTCCCTATGGACTGACCTTCTGTTAAATATTTGGCAAGACCCCGCTCTGTTCATTTTTAAAATTCATCACAAGACACATTTTTATGTTTTGGCTTTCAACTCAATATGAGATTCGGCATTATTTTATGGTGTCTGCTGCATGTATGTTTGAATTAATTGATTGATGAATTGATTAATTGATTGATTAATTGTTAATCATTTTGCATTGATAGAAAATATACATTAATTTGTGTTTTCCCAGTCTGCCGTTTACTTCTCTCAAAAGAATAGTTGAGTGGCGAAAATGTGACAGTCAGATGTACTGGAAACAATTGAAATGCTGAAAGCATGATTATCATTACTCCAGTGTATTTCTCACAGCGGCAATGACAGCACAATGTTGCCAATTTCGCTATCTTGGGAGAGCAGAACACTTCACGAGTGTCCAATCAGCCCCCTTCTTCTGCTCACAGCAAAAGGAAACACATTTGCACAGTAACTAGATATTTCTGTGACGTATTCTGAATGAGGCGGCACGGTGGATGACTGGTTTACACGCCGGATGACTGGTTTACACGCCGGACTCACAGTGCAGAGGCCATGGGTTTGTGCCCGGCTCTGGCCTGTCTGTGTGGAGTTTGAATGTTCTCCCCACGCCTGCGTTGGTATTCTCAGAGTCCTTCGGTTTCCTCCCACATTTGATTGTCTAAATCATAGTGTCAAACATACGGCCCGCGGGCCGAAACCGGCCCCCCAAGGAGATTCCATCTGGCCCGCAGGATAATTTAAAATCCGCTAGGGGGCACACTGTTTTCATCAGAGTAGAAGACAACATTGTTTTGATCAGACATGATATTTTGGTTATTTATAGCAGAGTATGGTATAATGTTAATGGTCCGGCCCACTTGACATCTACCGAGTCCGTATGTGGCCCACAATGTGAAATGAGTTTGACACCCCTGGTCTAAATTGTCCATAGGTGTGACTGTGAGCATGAATGGTTGTTCATCTATTTGTGCGCAACGATTGGCTGGCGCCCGGTTCGGGGTGCCTACCACTCAATGAGAGTTGGAATAGGCTCCAGCACACCCATGACCCTCATGAGAATAAGCAGAATGGATGGATGGATGGATGGATGGATGGATGGATGGATGGATGGATGGCATTCTACATTGTATGACCCTTGATTATCAGTCCTTGTTATTTTAACTCATTCACATTCCTCTCTCCAGATAACCGACTCACATCAGTTCTGAAGCTCTGCATATGTTTCCTTGTCCATTTGCATTGAAACATGCACTTTAGTAATCATAAACTAACTCCCAGGGTGACATCGACCCATTGGGATGGAGGACCCTGAGCTCACGTCACCATCACCCGTGCCCCTTGAGATGAACGACACGGGTGGGATTTTCGAAGTGGCGCTCCAAAATGTCTCCTCGGAGCGCAAACCTCAGTTTGAGGGTGTGGAACTGCTGCAGTCCTTCAAGCTGCTCATCATTCCCTGTTACACCGTGGTGGCCCTGGTGGGTGTCATCGGCAACTACCTGCTCCTGTACGTCATCTGCTGCACTCGCAAGATGCACAACGTCACCAACTTCTTCATCGGGAACCTGGCCTTCTCCGACATGCTCATGTGCTCCACGTGCATCCCCTTCACACTGGCCTATGCCCTCAACCCACACGGGTGGGTGTTTGGCCGCTTCATGTGCTACTTGGTCTATCTCATCCAGCCGGTGACTGTGTACGTGTCAGTTTTCACCCTCACCGCCATCGGGGTAGATAGGTGAGTCACACTGAGAGACGGTATTTGTGGTGGGTGCTGTTTACATGCATGCATCCAGCATCAGATGAGAACACATGCATTGAAGATGAGAGCCTCAGATTGGCGATAGCTTGTTTTAGACAAGCAAACAATGCGATAGCTCAGTGAAAAATCTCACACACAATTAATGATCACCTGGCAAAGTGAATTGATCTAAAAATCGCAGTGGCAGATTTTAGCTGGAAAAAATGCCTTTCGAGCGACAACCAATTACACATCTTAATGTGTGGGATGTAGAAAAAAAACATGACAAAAACATGGAGCAACGTATATCCTTACCTTTGTGGTAGTCATTCACTGCACCAAGGCAGTGGTTCTGAATTATTGGAGCGCAACTGACTATTTATGATTTATGATTGTGTTACCTGAAGGAATGTATTGTACTTGTATTATTATCTAGACCAGGCGGCACGGTGGTACACTGGTTAGCATGTCCACCTCACAGTGCAGAGGTGATGGGTTCAATTACAGGCCCCGGACTTCTTATGTGGTGTTTGCATGTTCTCCCCGTCCCTGTATGGGTTTTCTCTGGGTACTCCAGTGTCCTCCCACATTCCAAAAACACGCATGGTAAGTTTGATTGAATGCTCTAAATTATCCCAAGGTGTGATTGTGACCGTGAATGGTTGTTTGTTTATGTGTGCCCTGCAATTGCCTGGCAACCAGTCCAGGGTGTACCCCGCCTGCTGCCCCATGATGGCTGGGATCGGCTCCAGCACACCCGTGACCCTTGTGAGGATAAGCGAATCAGTTAAGTAATGGAGAAAGGACGGATGGACACTATGCTGAACTGTGCTGGACTTTACAGCAAAAGTTACATTTTTATTAAGTGTTAAATTGAAAACATGGATGGGGGTGGATCGCAAAATAAAGAAATAAATGAAACATTTCAATATTTGAAATGTGGTCCAACATCCTGAACCAGTGAAACCCTATCATATGGGACTATTGCACTAATACTGGGCCTTCAATCTGATTTAATTTGGTTTTATCAATTAATTATTTTAAGGTTGTTTTTATTGTATTTATTTTTTATAATAATTGGGAAAGGTTCAGTCACATGAGACCAACCACAATGACCAAAAGAAAGGGCTGGAGTTGGCATGCTTCTGACCCGTGGCGGAACGAGACTTTTATCCGTGGGGTGGCTATGGAGTGGCCAAGGCTGTCATAATGTGTCCGGAAAAAACAAACAAACTCGGAAACACGTTATCAACAATCAACATACATTTTTATACTGATTAAAATTTGCATGCACACTTGCTTCAAATAGGTTAATTATTATGCAGCACACACACACACACACACACACACACACACACACACACACACACACACACACACACACACACATACACACACACACACACACACACACACACACACTGACGTAATCACAACATGCACAAAACTGAATGCCATCATGTCATCCAATACACATGAAGTACCAAATAATCATGCTCTGTTTTGATGAATCATTTACTTTGTTTATTTTTGTGGCTGAGTGTTTGAGGTCACAAAAAGCATCGGGTCAGTTGCCACTCAGTGAAAAGTGTGGATGAGAATGAATGAATGAGTGTCTGTCTCATATGTGCCACGTGAATGACTGACAAAAATCCAGCAGTGTGGTCAGCTGAGATAAGCTTCAGCTCTACGAGATGCTCTTCAAGATAAGTAGTATGGATTGCACTAGATGCAGTTTGCAATGGTGTAGAACTGTGCTGCATCCTAATGAAAGCTGAGACACACACACACACACACACACGCACACACACACACACACACACACACACACACACACACACACACACACACACACACGCAAGAGGACCACTTCAGCTTGGATTCTGCCTCTAACCATGGGATCGACTTGAGCTCACCTGTGACCTTGGAGAGGAATCAGGATAAGTGGCATAAGGTGGATAAATGGTTGATTTGGACAGCATTGCACGTGTGTGTGGAAAAAAAAAACATGTTCATGTGGAGGAAATTTAAGGACTTTTTCTTCCGTGCGCTAGGCAACAAATTCTTTCATTATCACTTAACCTTGACAACAGCATCTGAGTTGAGTGGAATACGGTGTGAATTTTCAAACAGCTTAGAGAACATGAGTGAAAGCTCATCGGAGATAGCTAGATGGAATGATTGATGACAGATGGAAGCTTAGATCAGTGGGTCTGCTGACGATTCTAAATAGTAATACGGATTGGAAATCATCATATCATGCAGTGGTGGCACATTAGGCTGCATTGTGTTAGGAACCTCATGGGCGGCAGGTCTGGATGATGATATGTTGTGGTACGTTAGAATGTATCAAATGGACAGCCCTGGGTCAGTGAGGTACAGTTCTACCTTTGAGATCAGAATAGAGGTCTATCTCACCATGTCTCCCAAAACCTTATTGAGTCGTATATTTTACAAAAATATATGCCGGAGCCTATCCCAGCTGTCTTCGGGCAATAGGCAGGGTACACCCCGAACTCGTTGCCAGCCAATTGCAAGGCACACGTAGACAAACAGCCATTCGCACGCACAATCACAGCTAGGGACAATTGAGAGTGTTCCATTAACCTGCTATGCCTGTTTTTGGAATGTGGGAGGAAACGAGTACCCGGAGAAAAGCCACACAGGCACGTGGTGAACTTGCAAACTCCAAACAGGAAGTCCGGAGCCAGAATCGAATCCTGCACCTCTGCACCGTGCCGCCCAGATGCATTATTTGGAAAATATAAATACGTTTCAGACCAGTTAAGTGAAATTAGATCATGTCCAGTGGCACAACGGATAATTTCTCATTGAAGACTGCTGTTCCACGGCACAGTGGTTGGGAATCACTCTTTTATTGTATCGTGGGAGATAGGGACCAAATCTGGTCACTTGTATGAAAAATGAATTGAAGGACCCCAATTTTGATTGATTTTTCAGTCACATAGGATACATAAACAGAACATACTTGCATAAAATATTAGTATGGCACCCTAAGTGACAATACTATAGAAGGAAACAAAATACCCACACCCAAAAACTTGCCATGCCTATACAGTATCAGTGTTTTATATTGTCCCAAACTGATGATCCCCAAACAGTTTAATATAATTACGAAACCATCTTAGACTACACCAAAAAATAAATGGCTTACAGATTTATTAAAAAATAAAATAATTACACACAGCATGCATGTACATGCGGCAAAGACTCATAACTCGTACCCAAAATACAAAACATGTCTGACTGAAGACATTTCAACATTGTTACTTTACAGCAGGGGTCTCAAGCTCCAGTCTCGGAGGGCTGCTTTCCTGCATATTTTCCATCTCTCCCTGCAACAGCACACTTGATTCAAATGATCAGCTCATTAGCAAGCTTTGCAGGAGCCTGATAATGATCCTGGCCCTGGAGGACCAGAGTTTGAGACCCCTGCTTTACATCAACACATATCAAAGTCCTGTTTCAAAGAAATGTCATCCTCCTTTGTAACTACTTTCTAAAAATAGGGGGATTTGTCTACTAGCCAGTGCTTTGACTGCATCTGCAAAAAATTACTTAGAGAAAACTGACTAGTTAGGGTAACCATTTTATTCCTTTTTATTATATGTTGAGTCGACCAAGGCTTATTATCTTCTTACCCTGATAGGTACTATGCCACGGTGCATCCTCTGAAGAAGCGCATCTCAATCTTGGCATGCACCTACCTACTGTGTGCTATCTGGCTGCTGTCGTGTGCTCTGGTGGCTCCCGCTGTTGCGCACACCTACCATGTGGAGTTCCGAAATGAGGGCTTCACCATCTGTGAGGAATTCTGGATGGGTCAGGAGGGGCAGCGTCTGGCCTACGCCTACGGCACTCTGTTCATCACCTACGTGCTGCCTCTTTCTGCCCTCAGCATCTCTTACCTGTGCATCTCTATCAAATTGAGAAACTGTGTCGTTCCAGGCTACCACACTCAGAGCCAGGCCGAGGCCCAGCGCCTGCGCAAACGTAAGACCTTCCGCCTGGTGAGCCTGGTGGTGGCCGCTTTTGGCATATGCTGGATGCCCATCAGCGTGTTTAACGTGTTGCGTGACATTGACATCCTGCTGATTGATAAGCGCTACTTCCTGCTCATTCAGTTGCTCTGTCACTTGTGCGCCATGAGTTCATCTTGCTGTAACCCATTCCTCTACGCTTGGCTCCATGACCGCTTTCGTGCCGAGCTCCGCAAAATGATGGTCTGCCACCGGCGCATTGGCATTGCTGCTAACAATGGCGCCACCGCCAGTGTCGTGCTGTGAAAGATGCTTCAAAAATTATTCAAGTAAGACACATCACTCTGGGGAAGGAACTGTTTTTGTTTTTTTGCCTCTGTTCTATCTTAATATAATGCATACTTATACAGCATTTTTGTATGTTATTTTGCAATGTGATCGTGTTGTAAAGAGGTGGATTAGGTCACTGAAGGCCCATGTCGGAAACTCATTGGCCGTCACTGAGGTCTGGCTAATTCATCACATTTTAATCCCGATTTCGATTTGGGATTCTCATGATCATAAAAATATTATATTTGAGGAAATGCAATTCATGTACCGAATGGCAAGTTCAAGTTCCTATGTTATGAAAGCAACCTGAATGCTCCGCACACATCAAGCGTGTGACAAATAGTTTTCTGATTTCACTGAACATGATATAAGCTGTCTAATGACACAATTGGAGTTTACTGTAAAAGTAAAGACAAACAAAAAGAATTACACACATTGTACAACTGCTAATATTAACAGTTAATGTAAAATCAATTTATCATGTTAATGGGAATTAGCATCTCGTTTCAAGAACGATGTTCCTTAAAGTAATGAATATGCACCCACAAAGGCCGAAGTAACACATACAAAAATGTAATATAAAAAAATTGAAGGGTCTATATTCATTCTAAAAGGTGAAAAACGAGTTATATTAATCAAGTTCAATTTTGTTTTTCTTCTAATCTTATTTTCATGTGTGTGGTCCATGAATGCATGGCTTCACTCTGCCCCCAAGAGGCCAAGGCTCAACATTTTTGACTCAGCATCCCCTTTCAACATTGTACAGGTATACTACAACAGGACCCTGTAGTCCTGTCACAACTCAAATGTTGAAAGGCATATGAACAATGTCTTTCAGAAAAACAAAAAATTTGTATATAATGTGTGTCATGACAAGCCGTTGGATGAAAGTGCATTGAATGTAAATAAAATCTAGTTTGCATTCGGATGATGAAGTGTCTTTATTTAAAATAAAACCACATTTCATTACCTCTTTGTCGACAGGATCATTACTGGAGCTGCAATGCACGAGGCATCAGGGGACATTTTCAGTGCTCAGCCCACAGAATGATGAGAGGTAGCCAACAATGAGTTCTTCAGCTAATAAGACACAAGAGGCTTCGGAAGACATGTCTCTACATTCATAATAGAAACATTGCAAGAATTTCTGCAAAGGCATTCACAAATGTGGTAAAAAGGAAGGCAGAGATGGCGTGCTCATTCACAAGTGCTTCCACTTAAGCCGAGTTGGAAGCACAGGAACCTTTTTACTGTCTTCAATTATCATCGACTTCCTGGAAGAGCACATCATTAGGAGTCTGATTCCGTGCTATTTTGTCAAGTTCTCAAACATGACTGCGCTGTCGCCCTAACAATCACCTCATAGGACTCAGACAACTGCAAACACAAGCGATATTAGCAACTTGCTTTATGCTGGTTTTCTCAATTTCACCAAAGGCACACTATCTCCAGAGAAAGCAAAGCAGAGGGGATAAATACCTCAGTGGAGGGAGAAAAAAAAAATCAGTGATCATCAGTTGAAGTTTTGCATAAAATGGATATACATGTGGAATGATTGAGTCATATATACAATTATTCTACAATGGAAAAAACATTTCCGTTATTAAATGAAGCGCATCCCACCTCTCAAGTATTGTAAATAAAATCATTTCAAATACATTTACAAGTGTTTAAAGCAACAGCAGTACCTTTGTGTCCAAATACATACATTGACTTCAATACACACATTTAGCTGCTTGTTCATCAATCACACACCAATTCCAGCATTCTCAAAGAAATCTCAATATTACTCCACAAAGTGCATTTGCCTTGAGAGCCCCATAAGGATGAGTCTTAGTACACAGTAAGACCAGCACACGCACACACAAGAAAAACTGTACTGGACCAATATACACACTGGGCTCTTCCTTCCTTCGCCGTTACTTCACACTGGCTTGGTAGTGTTCATGGCCTGCAGGATGGCAGGCTTCTCCTCAATGACGCGCACCAGCAGGTTGTCAATGTAGTCTTCAAGCTCGTTGATTTTGCAGTCTTTCTTGGACAGATCCGCTTGCTGCCTCACCACCAGCGTGATCAGCTCTTCATGGGTCAGTTGAGTGAATGGTCCGCCGCCAGCCACGCCTGCCACCTGCGCCAAGCACAAAAACGTATAAAGGTGTCCCTTGAGAAAGCGTGACGGTGAGTCAAAAGGTGAATGAATATCTTCAACATTCTGGCACAAAAAGTCTCTTCTGGATCAACTTGGGGCTTAATATAATGGAGTCAATGTGAGGTTATTACATTTATTATTTATTCCATTGGTATTTTACATTCATGTCACAGTACCTTCACATTTCCAGATGTGCCACTCTGAGCACGCATGTCTTTCAGTGCATAAGTGGTGGTGGGATGCTGACTTTCAATCGAGTGCATGGGCTTCACTGGATGAGGCCTGGAAGGAAATTCATATTCTTAAATCCACCACACCGCATGAAGCAATCGGGCACATGGCTGAAGCAGGTTTGCAACAAACTGGGCACCTCAGGTCAGTGTGTTTCAAAGTGGGTTGCATAACATACAATAGATGAGTCTTTGCCAAAGGTTTTAATCATGTTTTCAAAGTCCAAGCCTGAATTCGGCAAGAAGGCCAACAATCCCAACCAAGGTAAAACCAACGTCCAAAGATTTCTTTATCCAAATAGCAACTGCAATCACGTTGCGATGTGAAGCAACTGTCCGCGAATGCAAACTCATCATTTTTTAAGTCTCACCTGGATAACGTGGAGGCAAGGCCATCTCCATTGCTAATCTGGGAACTGACAAGATGAGGAGTCTCAGTGGGTGGCATCAACGCTTTCTTGGGTTTCTGTCTTGCAGACAACACTTCTGCTTGTGAGGACGGTTCCTCCATTAGAACAGGGAGGGGGTCTGAAACAGGGAACGAGGACGATTCTGGAAAATAATCTCGACCAAATGGATCCTCTCCATCGGAAAGATTAACTTGTGCCTTCCCATCAGCTGGATGTCTTTGTGTGATGGATTCAATGACAGTATCCCTTGTTGGGCGTTCTTGATAACTTTTGGTGGCTTGCTCTTCATCCGGAGATCCTCGCTGTAACATAAAAGCCTTCATAGAGTTACTTCTCGATAGAGGGGATGACGTTTGTCTAGCTGAATTTTTGAGGGGGAAACCTGGACTGGTTTCCCTGTCCTCATCCTCATCCTGCCCTTTGCTTGTCTCATAGCCATTCAAACTTGAGAAGGGATCCCTTGATTTCTCCTCGCTGAATATTTGATCAAGATCATCCGCCGTCATTCCAAGGCTTTCGGGTTTTTGTTCCCTCTGGGTTACTCTGGTATAGAGACCATCTGATGTTCTGGCTGGTTTTGGTGGTACCACCATCTCTGTAGGCTCTTTCTTGACAGATCGTTGCCTCGGTCTAGCAGTGGGAACTTGTGTGTCAAGGGTCTCTGGAGATTTTGTCTGGTCATCAGATGCTGCCGAATCCCACTCCATTTGGCTTACAGAACTAGTCAGATATGCCGGTCGAATGGATTGTTGCAAAGCATTCTCTGATCCATTTAGAGAGATCTCGTGGAGGCTCCCACTTGTAGTTTTGTCAGTATTTAGAATTTCTGCAGTGACTTGTTTAGGTGGTGGAGGAGGGGCTGCTACTTTTTTAGATGACCGATGTCTGCTTTCCATGTAATGTGTTTGAAAATACCCAACAGAATTGTTCTCTTCTGGAAATGAAGGTTCAGCCTCCCCTGGGTATGCTGGGCCATCCACACTCATCTCTGGACCTATCAATTCTGGTGCACTGTCCATATGCCTTTGATTGACCTCAGCAATGATATGATCCCAGCGAGTGTGTCCCTGTACCCCATGCCTCTTCTGAGGATATAGTGTCTCATAATCAGGAAGCGGAAGAGAGAGTCTTTTCGCCTGCTGAGATCCATTTGGGTTTATGGAGATCTGCGCCTCTTTGGTTCCACCAGTCTGGGCCTCATATATGGGATACAAGGGTGGCAAGGGGGATCTTCCTGTCTTATCAGCCATTGTGGGTGAAGATGACTCGACACTGTAAGAAGGGGAACCAGGCGGACTTCTATACGGGGAACCCGGCGGACTTATACATGGGGAAGCTGGCGGACTTCTACACGGGGAACCAGGCGGGGAACCCGGCGGACTTTTGCGCAGTGAACCAAGCGGGGAACCAGGCGGACTTTTATACAGAGAACCAGGTGGGGAACCAGGCAGACTTTGGCGCAGCGAACCAAATGGGGAACCAGGTGTGCTTTGGCGCAGCGAACCAAGCGGGGAAGCAGGCGGACTTTTGCGCAGAGAACCAAGCGGGGAAGCAGGCGGACTTTTGCGCAACGAACCAAGTGGGGAAGCAGGCGGACTTTGGCGCAGAGAACCAAGCGGGGAACCAGGCGGACTTTTGCGCAGAGAACCAGGCGGGGAACCAGGTGGACTTTGGCGCAGAGAACCAAGTGGGGAACCAGGCGGACTTTTGCGCAGAGAACCAAGTGGGGAACCAGGCGGACTTTTATACTGAGAACCAGGTGGAGAACCAGGCAGGCTTTTATACAGAGAACCAGACAGGGAACCAGGTGGGCTTTTACAAGGGGAACCAGGCGGGGAACCGGGCGGGGAACCGGACGGGGAACCGGGCGGACGCTTACGTAGGGAACCAGACAGACTTTGCCTGAATCTCAGGGGAGCCAAGGATGAATGAAGATCGGAGAAAGTATCGGGGACGTCATACGGTACACTAGAGAGGGGAGATTCAGAGGTGATGGGGGAGGACCACTGTTGGTCCACTGGAACACTGGTGGTTTGAAACTCAGAGTATTCAGATTTCAGGTGTTCAGAGGATTCAGATTCCAGAGAATGACTCAATCTGCCAAGAAGTGGAAAAAAGGCCTACAAATCAGTGAAACTATCAAATAACCCAGGGTTCGATCCCCCAATGTATAAGCCCGTCACCAAATTAGCTTGTAGCTAGCAGATCAACACATTTTCATGACAAAATTCAATGCCAAACATTGTGTTACTCTTGTGATTGTTTGACAAAACCAAAGTTAATATACTTCCTTAAACCACTGAGCATACATGTGAACTCTAATCATTACATGTCTACTAACCTGTTAGTAAACACGTCATTTAATACCCAAAGACAAGGTACGGAAACAATGCCTGCTAGATGTTGCTATTTTAAGTCACAAAATAAATCTTTCGGTGTAAGGCTTCTTTACTGCCTTCTAGTTGTCCAAACCCAATTTAAGTGTAATGCAAAGCATCGTCCAAACTATTTCAAGAGAATAACGAAACCAAAATTACCCTTCAGCACCCAAATCTACCATCTAACACAAAATCCAACTTCATTGATAAAAATGTGTTTGCTCACCATGAATGACCCAAAGCCAACAAAAAAATGCCACCAAGATCCAAACGTAGAGGAAAATTTTTAGAAAGGAGAAAAATGAAAAACCACACACCCAAGACGTCGACATTAAGTCACACTGTAACTACTTCTACAAGCTCTTTTCGCAACCTGTTCCACAACATCTTCACAAAAACGAACACGCCCTTTTCCTCATCATACAACAGATCAGTCTGGCTAAACAGGTCCGTCAACTTCTGGGTGGAATACTAATGATAGTCCAAAAGTCACCGGTGCGAGTCAAATATGTCAAAGATGCATTTAATATAAATGAATGAATAGGTCCCTTTCATTGTTGAAAAGATTGTGAGGAGAATGTTCTCCACTTTAATTTGCAACGTGACAAGTGGCTACCACCTTTGTGAAACTTAAAAAAAAAAAAAAAATGAAATAAGCACTTCAAGGCCTCTAAAATTTCCCTTCAATAAATTCATGCAAAAACGATTGATTACCAAACTACAAGACCTTTGAGTGCCCACACTGCTCTTCTCACAAATGTTTGACTCGTGCCATTTAAGTGGAGTTTTTAGGGAAAGTGACGCTGTTCAAAACATCATGGTAATTTTGATACATTGACGACAAGAACCCCTCAGAATTTAAGTTTATTGGTGGAAATTTTTCACTGAAACTTACCAGCCAATGGCACAAGGGGATCCTAGAAGACCAAATAAAAGGCTCAAGGAGTTATTCTGTCTGACTAAGCTACCTTTTTTGCCCATATCTTCCCGTGGCGACCTCACACCAAAAAAAAAAAAAAAACCCCACCAAAAAAAGACTACATTTCTCAGGATCCCATCATCCAATTTTCCAAATTTTTAGTGCACTGCTCTCAGGCTGAAGTGGTCTTTTCAAACAGACTCAGCAATTATGACAGATTGCTCTTTTGGGTAAATATTGTTACGTTGCTAGTTTCACTCGTGTGCATTTCTCTACAAAAACTGTAATCACGCTTGTGCCCATTGGCACAATTTGGTGCCGCTTGCTCTTGAGACTCTTTTGTGATTAAGGGCTATATAAATCATTTTGAATTGACTTTCGAAAAGAGAAACCCTTATGACCATTAAAAAATAATAAATAAATAAATAAATAAATTGAAGGCCTACCTTGGTTTAACTGTGGACACTTTTGAAGCACGATTTTGGAAGAGCATGGCCGACGAGCTTTGTGGATTGAAGCTGGAATTCTGCTCATCAGATGGGCTTTCATTGCTGTTAAATTGAGTTGTAGAGCTGAGTGAAATACTCTCAAATGAGTTAGTGGCCTTGAGGACTTGCTGATCTCTTGTGTCATAGTGAGGAGCTTGTGTGGTCATTTCTTCTTCTTCGGGGTGCTGTGGCGCCTCCTCCTTTTTTCTTATGATTCCAAACAGAGACGAGAGCCTTTCGCTCATGGACGCCTCCTCATGAGTTTTCTGCTCTTCTCTTTTTGGGGCCAGCTCCTCCATTTTGTGGCGCTCCTCAATCTCTATTTCTTCCAGCCTTCTGCGTTCTTCTTCCTCTTCCTCCCTCTGTTTCTCTCTTCTCACTTCCTCCTCAGCAAAGCGTCTGGTCCTCTCATATTCATCTGCCTTTCTCTGATTTTCTTCTTCCAGCCATCTCCTTTGTTTCTCCTCTTCCTCCTGCAAACGCATGGCTTCACTCTGCCTTCTTTCCTCTTCCTCTTGTCTTTTTTGTTCCATCATAAGCCTATCTCTAGTGTCAGACCTAAACAAAGGCACTGATGCATGTTTGTCTGCCAAGACACTGTCGGTGCGTTGATGTACATTCTCCATAGAACCTTGGCCGGAGCTGTTAAGACTGAGAGTAGAGCCGCGCCTGGCCTCTGCTTCTTCAGCAGAAACATGGGTGGCGTTATTGCTGGGGTTGTTTAGGTCACTGTTGCTGTGCTTGGAGCGGCTCAACAAGGACAATGGACCTAAAGACACCTTGCTGTCTGAGCTACCACTCCGCTTGTGCCCAAGAAATTTGAATTTCTTCTTGACTATGGAAGAAGAGAAAGGGACATGAGGTTATTGGTAACAACAGGTACAAGAGGATTTGAATTGTGCTAATGCCCCCTTTCCACTAAATGGTACCTATTATCGCTGTTCACAAATCGGCATAATCAGGTACTACTCGGTGCTATTTCTAGTAAATGATAAGTCTGATATCCTAAATGTCCTGATGCGCAATATGGGGATAAAAACCTCTATTGGTCATCTGTATTATACTCCAGTCTCAACTTTGCTGTCCTCTGAAAAATGATTGTTCGACGAATCATGGCAGCACACATGGCAAGAAATAAATTAAATAATCCATTGGTGGTGTTTGTTAGAGCCATGGTTCCCAACCCCACAACTGCAGGAAATGAGCACATTTTACTTCATTAATAATTAAACACTGATTTTTTTTTTAATCTATTCACACCAGCGATGTATAGCGACAGGCAGAAAAATTAAAAGCTCGATCACTACATCACTGGTGTCAAACTGAAGGCTGCTGGGCCAGATCTGGTCCATCACATCATTTTCTGTGGCCTGCGAAATAGGGCTGGACGATTAAAAGAAATTGAAATTGAAATTGTGATTTCAATTTTGGCTTCTCTCGGCCTTTACATTTTTGTAAAAATAAAAACAATAAATGAGCAGAATGGCGCGGTGTGTTTATAGGTTCCCCATGTTGTGAAAGTATAGCAAGCGTCTAGCGCATGTGATTCTGCTGTCCCTGAGCCTGCTTTCAGCCGTTTAATGACACCCTAGTTGGAGTTCACTGTTAAACTGAACACACAACAAAAAGAATCATATTTTTAAATACATGCTTTGTTTTCAAAACATCGCTCGTGCTAATGCTAAAGTCAATGGAGGATCCCGTTCAATTAGCGGGAAATTAGTATCGACTTAGGTTGTGATTTTCCTTCAAATAACCAATGTTCACGCAGAAACGCATACTCACAGCTAAGACACACACACACACACACACACACACACACACACACACACACACACACACACACACACACACACACACACACAAACACACACACACACACACACACACACACAGATATATATGACAGTAGAAAGAAGAAAACAAAACAATTAGGAAATGAACAACTTCTATACAAACGTAATCTACCTTCAGGGGTTTCTACATTGATACCAGACGAGCGGCTGCCGCTAAGGGACGAGTTCTTCGCAGAAAAAGTCCCTAGGGTGGACATGGACTGTGAGCTGTTCCGCTGCAAGTTGGATTTAGGTGCAAAGAGGTTCTTTAGCTTTGATTTTTTTTTCTCTCCTGAAGTTCGATTGGAGGAGAGTGAATCTCGGTCTCCATCGCTGTCTGTCAGGACTTGGCTCATAGCCGAGCCAGAGTCAGAGAAGCTGTCTTTTTTCTTCAAACGGACTTTGTCTTTCAACTTGGACATGCGGGAACGAGGCTTGTCCCGCATAGAAAGGTCCACCATGCTCGCTGACATGTTGTTCCTCATGAAGGTGATGCCGAGCAGGACGTCGCCTCGCAGCTTGTCCGCTTTTCCACTCTTGTCCACCAACTGGAACCAACTGAAGACGAGAGAGAAGGTGAATCTAATACTGCAATATTTCAACCTTGTTTTTACATCATGCACGATTGGGAACAGGGGGAGGACAAATTGGATGGTCGTTTGGGTTAGGTTAGGTATGCACAATGTCAGTCAAAACTGAGAATGTAAAAAGTAAAATAAGCTGTCAGTGTGTCAAGGCAGATATTCAAAGACCGAGCATTGGATCTCATACGACGTAGGCTGTGGCCAGTGAGTGTAAGTATTTTTAGGAAAGTAAATCACGTTTTTTCCAGAGTTTGGCTTATACTCAGGTGAAACTTGTATACATTAAAATTAGAGCTCGGACTGGCCCCCAAAATCTGAACAGCAACAAACAAGTTCCGGTCGGATTTGAAACTTCCGCTTCTAACTTTGCAAAATTATTGGCCAACTGCCCAAACTGGAGAATTCGTGGTAGTAATAGTGTGACGTATCGCTCGTTTAGCATGCGGATTCTGTCGCAACAAGTATTTACTAATTACAGCACTAACAGGCAGAATAATTGACCAGGATTCTTCTACAATGCAATGGAAGATTCTAGTTAAGGGATAGTAAAGTCATTCTAAATGAAAAAAAAAAAGTTTGCCGGAGTTAGAAGTGGAATTTTGAATCCAACCAGGACTGATTTGCTGCGGTCAACACGGGTTATGTTTGGAAATTCACCCAACCACCACTCTTGAGAGAGTGTGTTTGGAGAGGCAGAAACCACTTCACTCCTATTATTTTCAGTACACAGCCTGTATTATAAACCAATCAGCAGTTTGTGCTTGAGCCGTTTCCGTCTGTACTGCCTGATGCACTGGGCTCTGGCACTCTGAATAAACCAATGCCACATTTGAACACCAACGTTCTGAGTTTCTGAATAGTTGAAATAAATTTTACACCAAAAATGCGAGTTGCTAGTTCGACTGAGTTTTTTTTTTCTTCTTCTTTATGATGCATTTTTTTGACTGGTGCGACTTTGGAAAATTACTCTGGAGTAATTTGTAGTCTGAAAAACACGGTATTGGTAAGAATACAAAACAAGTCATGGGAATGTCTCACTTCCAATATGTTTGAAATATAGGTGGCATTATTATTTGTATTAGATGCTACTATTTAAGTGTGGTGTGTTGACTCACTAATGTAGATGTAAAAAAAAAAAAAAAACCCTGCCAATTAGCTCGAAAGCTGACGATTGAGTTAAACCAGAAGACAGCATTACTGACACTGGCCCATTTTTATTTTTTACCAATCTGAGCACAGATATATTTTGACTGTTCAGCTGGTGGACTGATTGACTGTAGCATAAATCACATGATCATGTCTGATGTACTGTATGTGTGATATAAAATCAGTAAATTATATACCGATATTCAGTTAAGGAGTAGTGGTCAAATGCAAGAAGCAAAACCAAGAAATACAACCCCAACTGGACTGGTTCTTTGTGACAGTGGTTGAGACTGAAAGGCGTGTATATCATTTTGAGCACGATGTCAAAGACAAATCAAACAGCAATTACGGGTGTATCCAGCCTCCCACCCATGTTCTCTCTGTTGTTAAGGATCAGCACTTAATGTCTGACAGGAGAGGGAGGAGTGTTCCGGACCTGGAGGGACTTTTGTTAAAAAAAAAAAAAAAAAAAAAAACTCAATCACACCAATTGTCCTCCACTTATCTTGGTACAACTGAAGTACTTCTATAAATGCATTTAGTAATATGTCTAGGCATTACGACAAGTGTTGTGGTGCTTGTTTAAAATGAAAAGCAAAAACACTTCCTTTCACTTAAACAAGGTTGCATGGTAAGTTCTCACTCTGGTCGTTGTGTTACCCTTTAACGTGATCATTGGACGTTTATATGCCATTATCTGCAGTTCATGGAGAGTTTACCGCTGCATTAGTCAATTTACTGTCGGGCTCTTGTAAAGACAACAGTCAGGAGTCAAGCTTGGGAGTGAATCAACATTCCTCTGATTGATGTCATCAAGGTTACACTAATTCGAGCAGTCTCTCATCTTCCACTCTGAGGACTGGGCCAAGTCAAACACGACATGTCTCAAAACAACAAATAGTTTGCACGCACACACACGTACACACACAACAAGATTTCTTTCCCCAAACATCTTTCCTTTGGCAACATGTAAAATGGCAAAGTTCAGCAGCAGTGTCTGCAAGATTCCCGGGCACGGGGCTTCTTTCTTGTCGCAAGGAAAACGGTGTGAAAATCATATTGCTCATTGCTCAAATTTGTCTCTGTGTTTGCATGAATCAAACTTGCTCGTCATCTTTTTGAAAAATAACCGTTTGATGGATTGGAAAAGATGTTAAATATAGCAATCAGGCAGCTATGTTGGCAATTTCTTCGAGTCTTGGAAATTTCTTAGAGGCTAACACTCTTTATGATTTACACTGCCCTATAGGAATATATCGGAGAAATAACAGTCATGAAGATGAGCCCTGGATGACTCGAGGGCTTGAAAATGCCTGTAAGAAAAAAATATCTACATAAAATGTATATACAAATGAGAACAACAGAGGCAGAAATCAAATATAAGAGATACAAGAGTAAATGAATAGATGTAATAATCATAACTAAAAAAAAAAAAAAAAGACTACTGCAATAATTTAATGAGGAAAAATACAAAAATAATACATCACTGAAAGTGCTCACTACTGCGATTAAAAGGAAATGGGAAAATCAGAGTACCCTATTTGAATAAAAATAATAAATCAAATCCAGCAACTGTACGTCAATAGAAACTGCTGACGAACTTAATTAATGTTTTGTAAATGTTGTATTAACCTGTCTAAGCAAATTGTAGATTTATTACAAAGAGGTGGATAATCTTGCCAGAAACCCAAACACCATTTTTCTGAACAAAGTCAGTGAGAACTTATTGATAAATATGGTTCATGAGTTTAATTTTTTTTAAATTACTGTTTGCTGGTATATTGACGTGTCACTACTTAAAGATATTAGTTAGTATATAGCAAAGCATTTATTTGTAATCAGTCATTTTTAACTTGAATCTACCACAATGCCCTGAAAATAGCCACGGTCACTCCATAACTTTCATTGCACTAAATGTAGCTCAAGCTTTAGCTTCGCTCCTTGTCATACTGTATGTGCGGAACACTTTTGTCAAGCTTATCAGGAAATTGCCTGTTGTGACTGCAGGCATCTTGTCTGCGTCAAAATGTCACCTTGGCGTGCCCTTAGTTGGTTTAAAGAGACAATGAATTGTTACATCAGCTGAGTGACTGGGTGTTGATTAACACGCTGTTCTTACCCAGCCATGCCCCTCAAGCATGAGTGCACTGTTCCTGCAAGTCAGGTTCCATCTGGTGACTACTGAGAATAATTTTTGCTGTCAAATGATGAACAAGGGGTTGTTGTAAGTACGGTACATGAAATGTCATGAATATAAAGTGTTTTTGTATTTTTACTGCACTGTAATGTTTTGAAACAAGCCGGCAATGTCATGGCTACAAGTAGCAATAACGGTGTGTCAGAAGTCCAAAACACTTGCAAAATTTGGAATTAATTTCAATTTGAGTGTGACTTTCAGGAAAAATCTGCCTCTAAAATAGTACATAACTTTATTGTTCAATTTCCTGAACATGTGTAAAACAGTAGGTTTGGGGACAGCTCCAGAAGCACAGTGATGAAAAAGGGGTGGGACAAGGGAAGAAGAATGCTTGCTGCTGTATAGTGAATGGTTTTATAAGGCATCGTCAACAACGGTACACTTTTTTTACTCCCCTTTGTGACAAGTAAAAATATTAAAACTGCAACAAATCATTGTTAAGGTCAGCAGCTATTCTTCGGTTTATACCCCATAGTTTTACAATTTAACTTCAGACATTTTCCTGTGGAGTTTATAATAGTTTTATGATGGCTGATTATTTGTATTTTCATTATTCTCTGTGGGAGCATTTTTTTGAAAGATGAATAAATTGGAGTTTGAACAACTTGTTGAACAAGGTTCCCTTGCAATTTGATTAAAAAGGTGTTAGCCTAGATTTCCACTGGAATTGAGAAGCGTGAGGAACCGGAATCATATCAAAGAACCAGAATCTGAACCGGAATTGTCCAAATTCAAACGATGCCCAGCCCTAATGTTTGGCGAGAACAATGTACGTTAGTTCAAGTTTTGCTGTTTGTCAAGTTATCACAGAAACGTTGATTGTGAGAGATCTTTCATCTGGAATGGTCATTATTCACACACGCTGTATTTGCAAGGTAATCTACTAGCAAGTCTCAAGGTGAAAAGCTGCAGTAGCATCCCGCATGCTGGTCTTTCCTCAACAAACGCAAGTGGAGCATTCAAGAAGAGAGAAACTATCCAACCATGAACAGTGAGAGAGCAAAGACTGAACTCTTCCCACAAAGTGTAAAAAGGCCCTGTGCAAACACAAGATAACACAGATATGAGTGCAGTACTCAAGAGAAGAAGCCAAATGGAATTGGACAGTCTTTATAAACGGCCAATGCAATATTAAGAGGTAATACTGGAAGCAGTGGTCTCCAAATATTCAACCTTTATTTTTATATGTTCACATTAGTGTGTGTGCGTGCATCTAAATGTTACACCCAAGCTTCATTTCAGCAGCATTTGTAATCTAAAGTCATGCAAGACATCAGGGTGTGAGCACACACGGTATTGAGGTAATGTCTCAGAGGAATGTGCACAGCTGACAGCAGCAATTGTGAGACAGTGATTTCAGGGTGGGTCTGAAACACATCATAGCTGCCTACAACACGTCACACTTCGTCTACCACATCAAAATGATTAAAAGGATACAAAATGGGAGTGAGTGAGATATAATGACAACAACAAATTAGAAGGTTCTGGATGCATTTCACATTCACTGTAATGTTACCAAAATGCATACTCACATTAATAAGTCTCATTTGTGGCCTTAAACTGGAATTTAACCAGTGAGCCGTGCAATGCTGCAGGTTACCAAAGAAGCCATTTTCTCAAACTCTTCTCATTTGTGTCAAAAGTGAGTTGGAACCTATCCCAGCAAGAGGACATGTACACTCTGAACTGGTTGCCAGCCAATCATGGGGCACATATTGACCAACAACCACTCACACTCACACCTATGGGCAATTTTAAGACTCCAGCGGAACTAATGTGTATGGTTTTGAAATGTATGTGGGGGGGTTAGTAAATATAAATGTAAGATTTGTTAATGCATTTATTTCTCTCTTTTTTAGACGTTTTAACTAACAGTAAACAAACGGGTCATATGGCTTGGTCATGAATCAAAAGGGAACAACTGTGTCATAATAATAAACCAATGGCGTGTCTGCTTGAAACGAATATTAGTCATCACTTTCAATAAAATGGATCGAAATTGTAAATCCATTGGAGGATGTAAACCTTTTTTTCACAGTTGGGTTTTATGTAACTTCAAATCTCGTTCGTATCACCATCAATGTGTATTGTGAAGTGCGCTTACTCTGGCTTTTGGCGTCCCTTGTTTTCGTACAGCTCCAATAAGTTGACTACAGCCTGACCCAGGAACTTGTCGAGCCCGGCCTGAACTCGGTGCATGACGATGATGTGCAGTGTGCAGCGGTCGACGTTGCCCGGGTGGAAGAGCGGCAGGTCGAACGAAGCCTCCTCTTTCCACATCGGGGCCATACTCTTCTCCGCAACTGCGGTGGAAAACTTGTCTTTGGCCACCTGGATGATGGCATAGGCGTCGTTCGTGCCATTTTTCCCCTTGGGGCGAAGGTGCCGAGCCTGGTGCACCGTTACCTGCACGCTGGTGGGGAACGACTGCTGGTTCTGGTCGACCAGAGACATCGCCGCAGTCAACCGAAACGTAGCTAAAAGCTTCCCGAATGGTTGAGGAAGGGAGACTCGCGCTGGTGTTGTTAACCTTAGACGTCCTTTGAGAACTGGAGGTTTAGAGTTACCGAGCTGAGCTTCGGTCCAGAAAGCTCAACGTTTGTCCGTCTCCCTTTTAACTGAAGGTTTAGAGTTACCGAGCTGAGCTTCGGGTCTCGGAAGCTCAGGTTTGTACGTCTCCCTCTTCCTCGTAACGCTACATTTAAGCCGCTGGCAGCGCATCAGACGATGAAATAAAAGATAAGAGAGCAGTATAACAAAATATTTGAAGAAGCATTCATTAAATACCACAGACAACTCCCTTATTGTGCGTCGCAGAAAGTTAAAACGCTTACTTCCTAGATGTTCCCGATTGCCATTGATACTTTGCATACGAATACCTGATTGGCTTGATGTGACTGTCAATATTTGATGTCGTTCGCTGATTGGACCCTGATGCTGAGGGGCGTCACTATTTGGTCAACGTTCAACCAGAGACAAGTCACTGATCGGCCGGGTAAAACAAATAAATAAATACTGTAAATATTTATTATGTATAGAATAAATCACAGTACGTCACGGATGTAAAAAAAAGTCACTGATCGGCCGGGTAAAACAAATAAATACTGTAAATATTTATAAAATATAGAATAAATTACAGTATGTCACCGATGTAAAAAAGTGCAGTGACTCATAAAGTGTCTGTTGCCACAACACAGAGGTTTCTAACTAAGGAAAGACTTCAAAATAGAAATGCATGGGTGAACATGACGTTCCCAGGTGTTTATGGCTGATAAAATAAAACATAATAAAAACAATTTGTAAAATGTAACAAAATGTGCCCTTAAAAGGTAATAATAATAATTATTATTATTATTATAATTGTTGTTATTATTATGCATTATTATAATATGCATTATTATTATGCATATGCAGTCGAACCTTTGGATGAAGTGGATAAATCGATTATTTAAAGGAGCTGCCTAATGATTCAATAGTTTCTCATCCAAGAAAAATCTTAAAATTAAATAGGAAGGAATATTTGCACTAAATTGTTCACTTGGATGAACTTTAAAAACAAAAATTTAAATTGCACATTAATTGATTCAACCTCAGTAAAAGTACCTGTCTACAGCAGTTTTCCAAAATATGCTGATCACTTTTAATCATTTCTCTTGCAGGATCAGCATCTGTTGATGCCAGAATGAAACATTTTAGGATGTTGTTACATTCTCTGGATTTCCTTTGAACAATGACAAAAGGTAGTGACAGTAAGATCCGTAGCGGAAGCCCAAGTTCCTGTAATACAACTTCCTGAACTGTATAAAACTCAAATATTAAAAACAGAACTAATGGCTTTTGGTGGTCTTACATTTGAAGGCCAAATAAAGGAATGGAATACTGTATACCAATATACATTTCACACACACACACACACACACACACACACACACACACACACACACACACACACACACACAATAGTGCTAAGGGAAATGCATAACGAAAAAAATATTTCCACTCTGTATTCGGAAATCTCACATTATTTTAATTGACAATGGATTATGTACAAGCTCGCGCACACACAAACAAGCGCGCACACGCATGCATACACGCACACACTCATACACTCTGCAGATGCAAGAAGCAAACATGACTGTGAAAGGAGTTGCATAACGCCGTGTACAATAAAATTGAATTGTTTTCGGAAATGCATAGAAAAATCAAAACCAAAACAATAAATCTCTGATTAAACTTAAGTCTTAAATCCTCATTAACCAATATATGCACAGTCTTGTAACTGAATTTTCTCTCTCTACCTCAAATTATTTGCCACTGAAATAAAAGCAACACATTGGGGTCTTGGATCCCTTTTTCAAAAAAAGAAAATCTTAAATTACATAATAATCAAGAGCCACTTCAAACATAGTCTCATTTAAAAAGTTATCAAGGTAACACTGGCGTTCATGTACAAGTACAAATTACACAGTGGTTTCACTCTTCCACAAACTGCTCTTCACTCCCACAGAACTTTGGGAGTGATCTGTTCCGCTCATGTCGTGGTCCAGTTCTCGAACCGAGTTCTTCAGGGTGCCATTTGGGGCCGCAGCTCCCGGCACAGTTGTGGTGATGCTGTTCAACGGGTACGAACAGCGCTTAGCCTCCCGCTCTGCAGCAGCCGCGAGTTTCAAATTGTCTCTGCTGATGCATCGTCTGTGCGCGCCGTTCATGGCCACCCTGCTGGCCACCGAGGGGAGCAGCGGGTAGGGTTTGCGGCTGCCGCTGCTCCCCCCGTCGCTGCCTTCCGAAGGGCTGGTGGCCACTGACTGACCAACACGCTTTCCATTTGTCAGGGGGACTCCATGGCTCTCTGGGAGGCTGTGATGGATGCTCCCATTCTCACTGGTAGCTTGTTTATGGACCGCATGTGATGAGCTAAGGTGCTCCAAGCCCGTGGGACCCAAAGCACCAAGGCTGCCCCCGCCTCCTGCTGTCCTTAAAGCTTTGAGTCGGTAGTGACCTCTGCCATCACCCCGATGGTGATACTGGATACTGCCTTGTTTAGTCCTGCTGTTCACTTTCCTTCTCTGAGGATGCACTGGCACTGAAGCGTTCATGCTGGGAAAAACATTGTTTGATGGCTTGCTGACATTGTCAGTACTGGTGCCAGTGTTGATACCGGCAGCAGCCCGCGAGGTGTTGCTCGGAGTGTCTTGCGTCACCTGCATTAGGTTGGTGAGCTTGCAGGGCCCGGGTCCGACGCTGCTGATGCCACTCGGTGTGGATGATGACCGAGTCGATGAAGAATTGTGCGAGTCACCGGGTTGATGGCAGTTGATGTAAAGTTGGGATCCCTGCTCAGAGGTTTGCACGCCACTTCCTGTTGTGCACGTGTGCATGTAGGTAGACGCGGGATGGGTGCCGCCGTGACCCGGGCAGCACGGCAGCCACGAGCTCTGCACATCCACACGTCGGAAGCAGTGGTGCACCACCAAGAACACCCCCAGGGCTATGGCCACCATTCCATAAAGAGAACTAAACAACAAGCTAGCGTGCCCAGTCAGGAACACTGCCATGGCACCACAACACCACAGCACCACAAACAGGAAGTGGGTGGCAACCAAAATGAAAAACTGTGTCTTCAGAGAGTACTGGTCCTCTGAAGCCACATTGGAATTTATAGGACTCACAACTGAGTCTGAAGACAGGAGGCTAATGCTTCCTGCCAGTGCAGGCTGGCTCTCGGTCACAGGGGAAGACGGTGTGATTCCTGTGCATTCTTTGGCTGTACGATGCCTCAGGCAGAACCCAGTGCACAGGAAGTAGATCCAGGTCACCAACACCACCAGGCCTGCTGGGACAAAGAAAGCCCCCAGGCTAGGGCGCCACACCAGCCAGCAGCTGCAAGAGGCAGTAAAGAGTCCGTGAAGGGTCAAGGAACAACAAGGACATCATTGTCATTTCTCCCAATCACACAGAATAATTCACTTTGCCACTCAACATACCAACATAAAGTCAAGGGGTGGACTCAAGGATGAAGAAGTGCAGTACTCACTAAGGGCTGTTGTCTCCGTAGTTGCTGACATTGACAGCTGCAGTGATCCCACAAATGATGAGAGGAACTCCACCAGCTATCAAATAGAACCTTGAATGAGAGTTAAAACACATCTGTTTGACCTTTGGCTGTGACATTTTTTAATGTATGCAAGCCTGTGTCATAAATGTCCCCGGCTGTAATATGAATAGAGCTGTGTGATCCTTTATTTTCTGAGTGGACAGAGGTCACTAAGGCAGCAATTTATTGCAGAATGGTGCAATATATCTGAGTGGGCAACAAAGAAAGTCTGGAGGAGCAGCACTGTGTATGATCTTTGCTGTGGGATCACAGGGGCAATACGAGGCCCAGGAGAGAAGAAACACAAGGGATTATTTGGCTCCATCCAGATTTACAGCGACCCCTCTCTGCCCTGTTATGCTGGATTCATACATTCATTCCCGCTTCTTGTCTTTTTGTGTCTTACAGAAAGCCTTCAAGGTTTCATACAAAACAGAGGGACTTTGGTTGTTGTGCACAATGGCGCCTTTAATGCAACACACTCTGGGTGGTCAGGCACAAGAACATCTGCATCGGTCTAAAACATCATCCGTATTGACACCTAACAACAATCTTATGGATCAAGAGGAGGCGAAGGTGAGTTCTTGCTCTGACCTGAGCATAGGGCGCTGAGTAGGCGGAAGAGCGGAATCCCCTTCTGGCGGCAGCGGCATTCTCCACATAGCTTCCTTATAGATGACCCTGGCACTAACACCGATCCACAGCAGGGTTGACAGTGAGGAGTAGTGCAGGGCGATGCCCACCTGTTGCATAATGCTCACACATCAAGCCTATACTTTACTAAGAAGAACATTTGACAATTCAGTTGTAAAAGCACTTACTGCTTGACAAACAATTGGGTAGCTGGTCAAACTAATGCCCCCTACGTAGATGGCTGTTGTCATGGCGATGTGGAAGCAAGTATTCAGCAATGTGTGCCAGCTTTTTCTTGAAATGTGAATGGAACTGATCAGGGAACAAGGTAATACAGATACATATGCAAGTGATTATTTTAATCCATTCAATAGAATGAGCAAGTGTGTCCAAACCTTTAAGGTACCACATGTATCTGTCACTACAATAAGTACCTGTGGTGTAGTATGTGAGTGATGATGATGGTGAAGAGGCAAAGGAGCAGCAGTGCAGTACAAGCATACACCAAAGGGTGGAGCACCCTCACGGAAATGGGTGAGGAGTTGGGGAAGTCTGGCACCTCCTGGATAACAAATATAAACACAGTTAAAAGATGGTCTCGTGAGCATGTGCAGGGTCAAAGTCTATCGTCCTACCTGCAGCACAGCATAGTTGCTAAGTAGAGAACAGCGCATTGTGGAGGTTCTACTGTCACTGTGGACCAGCTGGCAGCCCTCTGGGCTCCAGCTGCCATGTTTGTTCGGTGTCTTTGGACTCCACTGTGCCGCCACAGCATCACTTCCGGGGGAGAAATGACGGAGTGACACCCAGACAGGCTCTGAGTGGTTCCACATACTGCAACCGTCTGTATCACGGAGGAAGGAAAACCAATGGCAGGGTCATTAATGGTGGAGTTGCGTAACATCCATCCATTATCTGAACTGTTTATTCTCACAGGGGTCACAGGCATGCTGGAGCCTCCCTTTAGTTGTTCACGGGCAGTAGGCGGGGTAAACCCTGAATTGGTTGCCAGCCAATCGCAGGGCACACATAGACGAACAACCATTCACACTCACGATCACACTTCGGCACAATTTAGAGTGCTCAATTAAGCTATGAACATGATATATTCAATCAAATCTAATTATGCAAAGTCACAACATTATGAT